TTGGTGGTTCTGCACATTTCTCTCTCATCTGCACAAATCTCAACCACACAGTTTTTACTATTCTTATTTCAATCCTACTTTGCACTTGCCAAAGTACACCAGGACGGAGGTAGTAAGAAAAATCACATTTTTTTTGAGAAAACAAGAACCAAAAGTTTGGCAAAATTAGGAGGGATCGGATAGAAGATGAGTATATTAATGAACTGGACTTGGAGTACACACTTTTTGGATACACACATTTACACATTTTGATGAAACGTATTTTGATGAAACTACATTTTGTCTGTACAGACAAAAAAAAAGCCTACACAGACAATGTGTAAAAGAATATTTTTGTATATTACTCCGTCTGTCCCTTAAAACTTTGCCAAGTTTGACCGGTACGAGGATTAATAAAGTAAAAACTGTGTGGTAGAGGTTTGTGCAGAGGAGAGAGAATTGATTATAGCCACAAATTCTTTACTTAAAATGGAAAGTAGCAAAATTAGTGTAGTAGGGAGTATATTAATATACATATATACATGGAGCTTGCCTTCGGGAAGACACTTCCTAGCTCCTGTAAAGCTGAATAGAGACACTAAAAGTTAATCCATCAATCATATCCCTCACCAATCTTTCTGATATCACTCGTGCCATCATATATACCCTACATCATAAGTCTCCCTTCATCTCATTCTCATATACTCATACCCTTAATCCCTCCCTTCCCTTCCATGCAATTCATTCCATACGCTAAGCTAAAAAGCCTTGCTTAAATCTCACCTCCCCCCTTACACTTTTCTTGTTCCTTTTCTATCAATACTGGTGACTACATATATGTATATGGAATATTAAGAGCTTAGCTTCTTGAATTCATCATCTCTCTCCCTAATTAGCTCCATCTCCTTGATCAGAGATATATTTATCCAGAGAACCTGAGAGGTAGATGAAATTGCCCGTTCCAGCCGCCCCCGCCCCCGATGGGCTTAATAGCTTGTGGTACGAGCCGAAGTCCGTTCTTGAGCTCCGGTCCCTCGCCGACGATCCCGTCGAGCTAGCCGCCGATCAGTTCTTGATGACTAACTTCGAGGAGTGGGACTCTTTCATCAAAGAGTTGGGTTTGCAAGACGACGGCGACAGAAAAGTTCCTCTGGCTATCGGTAATAATCCTCTGTTTTACTCCCCATACGAGTCCCAGCTCTCTCACTCGCCGGATTCCGCCCACCTCTTCCCGCCCACGGCCGCTGACCCCACCATCTCCGATGACTGTAATGTTAGTTTGTTGGATGAAGGGTACTTGGGCTTCGAGTTTGATTATTTGGACGAGCTGATTCAGTTAGCCGATTGTTTTGACGTCGGCGCAATCCAGCCGGCGCAGATGCTTCTGGCGCAGCTCAATCAGAAGCTGTTCTCCGCAGCCGGCAAGCCGCTCCGTAGAGCCGCGTTTTACTTCAAGGAAGCTCTTCAGTCCCAGCTGATCTCCGGCGGCTCGACGGCTCGCGAATCTCATGTGGTGAAGACAATTGAAGCTTATAAGATCTTCTCTAATGTCTCCCCTGTTCCTATGTTTTCCAGCTTCACGGCTAACCAATCTATGCTCGAAGCCGTTGACGGCTCGGTGATCGTTCACGTGGTCGACTTCGATATCGGCTTCGGCTGCCACTGGGCTTCGTTTATGAAAGAGCTAGCCGACAAAGCCGAGTCGGTCCACGCCAAGCCGCCGGCTCTTCGTATAACGGCTCTGGTTCCTGATGAGTACGCCGCCGAGTCGAATCTGATTAAGGAAAATTTGGCACAGTTTGCTCGGGAGCTGAAGATCGGATTCGTTATAGAGTTTGTTGAGGTCCGTACATTCGAGCTGTTATCTTTCAAATCCGTCAAGTTCATGGACGGCGAGAAAATATTCGTTCTTTTAACTCCGGCGATATTCCGGCGGGTTGAAGTCGCGCCCTTCGCCGCCGAACTCCGCCTAATTTCGCCGCACTTGGTTGTGAACGTTGAATTTGAGGGGACGGCTGGTTGCGGGGCGTCTTCCTTCCGGCAGACGGTGATCGACGGCCTGATGTTTTTCTCGAGCCTTTTGGAGTCGCTAGAGGCGGCGAACGCCGGCGGAGATTTGGTCGGGAAGGTTGAGAATTTCGTGGTGGTCCCCAAGATAGAGGCGACGGTCGGATCTTCCGGCAGCAACGGGATGTCGTGGAAGGAGGCTTTAGCGGCGGCGGGGTTCCGGCAAGTGGGTTTGAGTCAATTTTCTGACTTTCAAGCCAATTGCCTGGTTGAGAGGATGCAAATTGGAGGGTTTCACGTGGCAAAGAGAAACGCGGAGATGTTGCTGTGCTGGCATGATCGGGCCCTCGTTGCCACGTCAGCATGGAAATGAATTGATTAATAAAGCTGAGAAGTGTAAGGGGGTAGACGATGATTATAGCGCCCATCTTGGGGTTTGGCTCTGTAATTGTAGCTTATGTTTGGTGTTAGACTATTAGGTAGGTTTTTCTGTATTTACTAATTAAGGGTTCGTTTGAAGGACTTAATTATCACAATCATGATAATTATGCAGTGAAGTACTGGGTATATATTATATCTGTCATGTAATTTGTTAAATTAATTATTTTCAAGATTTTACCTTTACATTTGGTCCAAAAGGTTGAATGCCCAATCCTAAGGCTCTTCATCCCGACCCGACAGGATGGTGGGAGGTTAATCACGGTGACTCAGTCAGCAAAGCGGCGATAGACCTTATACACGTGCGCACCAGAGGTCCAGCTTTAATGTAACCTTTACGTTAAGAAAAATTCTACCGCATGCACACCCTCACATTCTTTTAAACGAATCAAGTTTTAGAAAGTGTCCATGTTCACGTCCTAGTCATCTTAATATACAATTTTTTAAACATAAGAAATTTTATTTTTTGTATTTTAAATTTTTAATCCTCTAAGAAAGTTAAGGGGGTGTTTGGAACTAATTCTGCTTTTGCTTCTTTTTTTAAAGCAGAAGCAGAATCAGAATCAGTTTTCAAAAGCTGGTACCCCCCAGCTTCTAAAAAACTAATTCTAGGAGTAAATTAGAGCACCAGAATCACTTCTGCATTTTCACCCAAACACTATAACTTCTGCTTCTGCTCCCTGAGGGAGCAGAAGCAGTTTTAAGAATTAGATCCAAACACCCCTAAAACTACCTACCACTAACGAAGCCACCTTAGGTACATCAGTACATGAACCCTTTCAAGTCCTAATTTTGTTATAGCTTTGGTCCTTGGTTCCTTCAGGTAATGCCACATTTATAAATAATGTCAAATAGATGAGGACTTTATCTCCAAAACTTGTATATCAAAGTTTTTGAAGAAGACATTCGTAAATAATGTCATTACTTCAAAGAAACTGTACGACAAAAAATTACTGACACAAAATAAACATAATATATATTACCCGTTATGGCTATCAAATGTTTTCTTTAGGATGTACTTTTAAATATGTTTTTTACTTTGTACAGAGAGTCGATCCTAGCAATTTTAGGGCTTGACTCGAATATATTACCGTCGTTCTGGTGAACTTTGCCAAGTTCAAAGTAGGTGAGATATAAGAAAAGTAAAAGTTATGTGATTGAGGTTTGTGAAGAGGAGAGATAAATGAATAGAACCACAAATTAATTGCTTTAATTGGAAAGTGACAAAGTTTTTAGAATAACTAAAAAGGGAAAGTTGGCAAACACAATACTTAGAATTTCTTCAGAAGTATTGGGATATTGAGAAAAAATTGAGAAATATATATATACATAAAAATTACAAACACAATACTTAAAATTTGCACTTCTAAATTAACATGAGAATATATGTTCTAATAACTAATTAATTATAAATTATTTTACATTTTTAGCCGCCTATATACATTATAATAAAACTACATGTAGTACATATTAATGTTGTTCAATAATTAGTTTAAACACACACTTTAGTTCAGTTTAAGATTAAAAATAAAATGTTGAACCTTTTTACCGCTTGAGACACATGCATGATACTAGATGTGTATAAAACATAAAATCATTTAGATAGAATTTAATTAATACCAAAATAGTAAACTAAACAAATGCAAACATGTGACTTATAATGCAACTTTCAATTAAAACTATCAAATAATCGACAAAAAGTCAATGAAAAAATAATGTTACTACAATTACCAATTCTGAAAATTGACATATTATGGTTGAGAGATGTAGATAATAAATTCTAATTTACTTAAGAAAAATAACTAGATAAGTAGATATGAAAAGGAGTGAATTTTATGAAGGAAAATAAACATATATGGAGTATATGTATACCTTTAAATTTTGGATCCCAAAATTTTTAAATATTTCGGGGCCTTGAGTCAATGGCCTCACTGGCCTTAAGATAGGTAATGAGAAATACTAAAATGCTTAAATACCGAAAAAACCGGCTAACTCTGAAAAATATTGCTGTTTAAGATAGGTAATGAGAAATACCGAAAATATGCTTAAGATAGGTAATGAGAAATACCAAAATGCTTAAATACCAACGAAACCTGTCTTTTGGGAGAATTTGATTATTGCTGTTTTTCAAAAAAATATTGCATTGTACGTAGTATTATTTAAGCATTTTTAATGTAATAAAATTGTAATCCCAACTTTATATAAAACATTGTGTAATATATTTATATATTCCATCTAGAAAGATAATTATTTAAATAGAGGTACAGAATTAAATTATTTTTAAACAAATATGACAAATTATATTTTTGAATATTACGGAGTATGTGTTTTCTGGACTTGATACATTAGTATTATGAATAATAGTTACTTTTTTAATTGATACCGCGCATATAATTATACATTTATACAAGTGTGATTATATACGTAGTATCTTATTAATGTTGACCAGGGTTGACACGTAGGATCCGGGTTGGTGACTTGGCGAGGTGAAAGACCCTCCCTGAGTCTGTACGAAGTCAAGAGTCCTGACACACATCCAAACAAACTACCCCATAGGCTACCATTTTTTTGGGAGAAGAACCCATAGACTATCAATGAATAAGTGAATAACCATGATAAATCTTTCATGGTGAAAAAACTCTATATTTGTAATAAAAGAAAAGAGAACAAATCAATACATTTTGATATTAACTTCAGCGCTGTACTGAAAAAACTCTATATTTGTAATAAAAGAAAAGAGAACACTGATCATTTGATCAATAGCATTTTGTTTACTTTTACAACATAAACCTAAGACACCTCTGATCCAAATCAACACATTTTGATATGTGTTGGACAGGGGTCATTTGACATATACCACAAACATTGCTCAAATCTAACTGCTCCTAATTAAACAGACAAGTTTCTCAAGGACTTTGGACATCACCCCCCAATTGTAACACTTTACCTTATAGAGTTAATTATCTTATATTAGTGTGGGTTAGCCGAGATATCCGCCGCCATGGTTTCATTGAACACAAACTTGGGCACAGCATCTGGACCGAACTTCTTCATTACTTCTTCCTGTGTTACAACAGCAGGGTTGAAGATTGATAGTCGATCAACTTCTTAATTTCGGGATTATGTTAACGTGCTAAAAGAAGGTAGTAATTACTATGCAAACCTTTATAAACTCATTCTCAGCTCTCAGCTTCAGACGCTCCTCAGATACCTTTTGCACTTCATCCCGGAGAGAGCGGTTATCGTTGGTCAGCATCCCAACCGCCTTTTGTAGTTCTTCACATTCCGCCTATTAAACAAAACATACCACAACGTTTAGTCAGATGATGAGCTGGTTTATGATCAACCGTTTGTTCCACATCCATTAAATATGAAATAAATAAATAAATAAATAGATAGATAATAAATAAATAAATAAATAAATAAATAAATAAATAAATAAATAAATAAATAAATAAATAAATAAATAAATAAATAAATAAATAAATAAATAAATAAACGCATAAATCTTAGACTGCTAATTTCGAGTCATACTCCGTCATATAGTACCAGAGCTAACCCAGGATTCATAATTCTGATGTGGGTCCCCTGGAAGATGTCAAAACCCATCATCTCGACGAGGTGTCCAACTATCAAGATGCATGAGAGGTATACACCCCTAGGGGGTGAAAAAAATTTAAAAAGCATGATCTAAATGCCTAGGAAACTAATATTGCTTGTGGTATAGAGGGTCATATGTAAGTCATTATAAACGGCTAAAGAAGCACGGCCAAAGCAATTCTAAGCCGAAGAACAAGGGTGGAGAAACACTAATAACTGTTGCAAGAGATGTAGCACATTGTACATCCCATTACAAGACATCCGTTCAGGTCTCAAGAGAAGACACAGAAAAAGAGAATAAGTAATAGGCATATACAGTGTTCTCTACCACTACCCCCCCCCCCCCCCCCCCCCCGGCCGCACACACACAAACACTACTTCGCAACCTAAAAAACTGAAAAACTTCAGAACAATTCTGATGGCTCATTCATGTTTATTTTAAAGAGTAGGACTATGTGATCTTCACATAAAGACAAGTGCATCCCCAAATCTCAATGGGAAACTATCTAAAAGCTTATACATATGTAGCAACTAAATTCAAGGTTTTCCTCTTGTCAGATAAAATAGACTCCACTCATCAATCAGCACCCTAACATGTCAGCTATAACATATGTGGCTAGAAGCCTACTATGCATCTCCAGCATCCTAGCCACCATAGTTGAAATTGGAAACCTTATTTAGCCATTTAAATAGATGTAATCTCTTTCCCTTCTAATATCTTAACACAAACCAGGAGACGGAGAGTGTTGGTTATATCCTGAATAGAGGAGAAACAACCTTAAGGAGTTTGTGAATTGTTTTCTAGAATTTTAATTAAAACTTGTAAAGGCTTTTCTTTATATTCAGAAAAGTAATAGAAGTATTTTCTTTCAAATAGTTCGTTCATTTATGATCCTCTATCACTCCACAACGTGAAATAAAACACCATATCTTTCCACCGTGAGCAAAGACGGTGATAATACCCAGTCCAAGAGGGTTTGTCAAACTTCATGGGGGAATAGGTTAAGCGTGAGACACACACTCAAAGGGAAACTGTGGCTTAACAACGATGACGAACAATAAAAAGATTAATTCAGACAAATTATTTGGAGAAAGGAATAGACCTGTTTGCGTAACCTTGATCTTCTAGCCGATTCCCTGTTAGACTGTTTCCTCTTTTGTCTTTTCAGTTCACGTTCATCCTGTAAGTTAAAGGGTCGTGATCCCATAATCAAAATATAATGATATGAAAAAAGAAGATTATTAATAGCACAAGTAAAATAGGACATTAAACACAGTTGATTCAAGAAAACATGCCAAGATATCATGAAGTCATCGGAAAGAGATGTTAAAAACAAAGCCTACAAAAAATCACTCATTGGTATGATGGTATCAATGAAAGAGTTGGCATGCCAATTTAAATACACATAGAAGGTATTTTTATGAGAGAAATATTATTTCCACGAAAAGTTATTGGGAATAAAGTTATTCCCATGGAAAACACTAAAATGGTAAATGCATTAAAAGATTGAATATAATCTTATAAACTTATATTTCTCATTCATATCGGACAGTAAATTGCTGATATCGGACTCTCATTGATTATCTAGACTGGATAAACTGGTGAGGAATTAGATTTATTGACAGACTGAGTTGCGGTTAGCCTTGAGAGATCTTTTAAGCCAAATTTATCATGATATCCGTGACACAATATATTGCAGCATGAGCAGTTAAATAATTAGTACATAGTATTAATGTATTATCTACCAATTCCATGGACCCAAGGCATAAATAGCTCTATTCTAAATTTGCTGCCTAGACTCACCTAGGCACTAGGTTCCCCATCTGCCACCTATGTTATGCAAGACCCCACCTCGGTGCTCTGCACCAGTCTGCCACAGTGCCACCCATTAATGCTTTTTAAACGCCTACTAATTTTAGAATTACATATCCATGGGGCTTCAACAAGTTTCCATGCCATTATCAGTACATACGCACCCAAAGTTAATATCCTCAGCTATTATTATATTAGACTCACCGGCATCCAATGTCCTGGCATCATTCCTTCATGTCCCATCACAGGAGTGGGAACCACAACCGGTGAGAGCATAGAAGGATTTGGTTGCATTTTGTTGGCTCCGGGGGGCGCTGAAGGGTTCCACATAGTCATTCCTATGTTTAAATTAGTTACAGGAACAGAAACAACAGCACTGTTCTGTGTATGGGCGGCACCTGATTGATATGACATGGTTTAATTCAGCAATAACTTATCGAGTGAAAATTTAAAACCAACAAAAGAATCGTGATATAAATGGGTAAAAAACAAAATTACCATCAGCCAGCATCTGATCAAAGCTTCCTTTCTTTGAAGCAGATAACTCCTAAAGAATAATACATAGAGAAATAAATAACTTTTAGCAGACAACAACTAAGAAGGGAATGCATAAACTGCATTAAGAGATTTCAGAAGCATACATTGTTATTGTTGTCATCACTGGGGTCTTCAGTAGAGCCATCACCTCCACTACTGTGAAGAAGAACAAATCATGAATAAACATGTGCAAAATGATTATCAATTAAACGTAAGTTTGAATCTTGAATATGCTACAAAAAGGGAACAAGTGACATGGAAAGTTGTTTTTTTATGCTTTGCTACTAGGAATTATGGTGCAAAGGAAAAGGAAATACTATTACTTTATATTCATCTTTATATACATTATAGTTTCAGTCTTTATACATTTAAATATAAACAAATAAAATGTTTCTCTTAGTTATAGATTATCTTTAATTCCCCGTATATCTTCATTCCTTCCAAATTTTCCTTAATATTATCCTTCTTAATATCAATCCCTAGTATATTCCCGAGGATCGAAATGGACCCAAAGAAGAACAAAAAAAAGGATTTAAAGGAAGATTGATGCCAATCTACTTCAAAACACCTTGGGGTGGTACCATCACATCCCGAGCCAGAAACTTCTTTTGGTATGTCTCCTGCCTTGTTACCAGACTTTCTATTAGTTTTTTTCCCAGAAGCTTTTCTTTTCCCTTTGGATGCTTTGACATCTGAGTCTCCATTTTGCTGCATTTGACTTGGGACCTACCAAAAAGTGAAAAATAGGAATCCTGTCAAAAAGATGAGCACACGAACATCATGTCAAGCTAAAGACAACCCATTCCCTTACTCAACATATCAAAGAGGCTCTAGTATTTTGGTGTCCATTTTGACTATTGAAAATACTCAGAAAAGAAAGTAGGGAAGGAAATAAAATGGAATTTTGTAAGGAAAAATAATTGAAGAAATAAACTCGAACTCAAGAAATTAATTTTGATAATTTTTCAAACTCATTTAGATATTTATTTTTATCTATACAAACTAGGAAACTTAAATGCATGCAAGCTTTAAAGATAATTGACCATACTTTATTTTCTTTTGTATTTTCAAGAGCTAAAGCCAAACATAATAAATAACTTTCTTGAGCACTTGTTTCCTTTCCCTAACATTTTCAGATATCCAAACATATCCATGAACATAGAAAATTGAAGGGAAAAGAAATAAATACTACGAAAAATAACCTTTCCTGTTTGGCTTTTACCTTAAAAATATGAATGAAAATCAAATTTGATTACAATTCAGAATTTTGACATACATATACTTTTCCTAGTCTTTATATAATAATAAATATATAAATGAAAAGAGTTTGAAAAAAACTCAAATTTATTGAAGGAATCTGAAGCAATTTATTATTTTTCCACAATTTTATTTCACTCTAAAATCCCTCCATAATTTTCCTCCCTATTAGAGAAGTCTTGATTACCATTGCCATATTTGGATGCATATAGACAGGCCCGGGAGGATACATAGCAGGATATGGAACAGGGTTCCCATAAGGCGGCATTAGAGGATGCTAAAGAAAAAATATCACACAAGCAAAGGACGCGTTACTCCATCCATCTAAAGCCATTGAAGAAGTGTGATGTGTATGTCTAGTATGTACTCCCCAGTTACATTTCAAGATTCCCATACACTATTAACATGGTCACCTAAACTATAGTTTAATACCTAATTTTATATACTTCCTCCGTTCCTTTTTAATTGCAACAGTCCACTTTTTACGTTTGCCAATGCACAAGTTTGAACATTAATATCTTTCATTCCTTATTAGTAAGAAAAATCACATTTTAAAAATTTAAAATGAGAGGAACTTAACGATATATTTCAAGAATTTGATTTATAATACATTAATAAATTAAATGTAGTCAAAGTAGAATATGAGAATAGTGCAAAATCACCAATGTTGCAACTAAAAGAGAACGAAGGTAGTATTTAGTTATAATCATTTTCAATTTTATCTTTTGCGATTCAGTAGACTTTCTAGCATTATATGTAAACTTTTATGATAAAAAATTATTAAGGAACAGTGTGCTTTATCATCTGTCGATCATCGTAAACCACACAGAAAACCTTGAAATGAAATGGAGAGAGTAACAATTAAATAATGACTTGAATAGGCAAAAATTACCTGGCCTCCCCACATATAGGGATGGGGAGCATGAGAAGAAACAGGTGATGGAAAGAAGGGAGGTGTAGCACCAGAGCCATAATAAGCCTGGACAAACACAAAAGTGAAAAAAATTATAATGTTAGATGACTTAGATCCATTGACTTGGCTTAACATCAATAGGACTACTCATTGTCAAACCGGGTGAGTGCTCGGAAGAGAGCTTGTCCAATCAGGATATAAAGACGCAGCTGGTGTCTCCTGAAAATTGAAAAGAAACAGATATAACTATTAATAGTATGAATCAATAAATCGAGTGCATGTATATACACTTAAAATGGAAATATATACTTCTGCCACCAAAATAACATGTTTGGTTGTGGACTTGTGGTACTTAAATAAACAGAGCAAGGTACAACTCTTAAGGTCACGGAATCCTATTTGGAGACCCATTTATAAGCAGAAAAATCATAATAAGTGGCTTTTGACTTACTAATTTGGTTGAAATGGATTTTAGCAAACATTCTTCCATTCGATATATACGCCATAGTGCCATACAGCCTCATAACATTTACTAAATGAGCTCTTATTTTGCCATTTGTTTGGTTTATTTACTAAATTGGCTTTTGACAGTGCTCCATTTTTCCATCATTTGCAATGGAGCCAAAGACTCACTATATTTTAGCTTGGGATATAATGGAATAAAGAAAAATGACAGACTAAATTGTCTGTGCTTCTTTGTTATGAAGCAGCAATCAGCCCATGCAATTTTCGACGCAATTTTCACTATGGGTCATCCGGAAACAGTCTCTTTGTGCCTTAGTACAACGGTAAGACTGCGTACATCCAACCCCCCCTTACTCCACTGGGGTAATGATGATGATTTTTAATTTTGAGCCGGAGATAAATCGTTTCTGATGTATCAAGAGAAGCAGAAGAGAAATAGATGCAAGAAACAATGGGCTTACGGTTATAATACCACTCCCATAGTCTCAGTAGTGTAATTTATAAGGCAAATAGTAGTGAGGGAAGTAAATGCGGTGGGACCCGAGGGACGCGCGGAGAAACACAGTACGCGGTGTGGTTGAAACAGGGAGCAGGCAGGCGTAAAACAAATAGGACACGCGGTGATATATGTATGGTGGAAGTCGCGGTGAGATAGATATGGTGGAAGTCGCGGCGAGATAGATATGGTAAGACGCATGGCGGATACATATGGTGGAACACATGGTGAGATACATATGGTGGGACGCGCAGTTAGATACGTATGGTGGGATGCGCGATGAGATACATATGGTGGGACACGCGGTGAGATACATATGGTGGGACATGCGGTGAGATACATATGGTGGGACGTGCTGTGAGATACTAAATGGGGTCTTATTTTGCCACTAATTTTATGATACTGAACTTGTAACTTTATTGATGCAAATTACATACGTAGTATAAAATTAGCTTCATTATGAAATACGTGTATTTTGGGGAGATTTTTAAAGCACACGCTCCTTTTTGGGACATATGGAGTAGCAAACAAAATGAAAGAACACCTGAGCTGATGATTTAGGTTTAGAAGATTTTGGTGGTGTTTTATCTTCTTCCTCTGACCCCATTCACTACTTGACGCCTTTATAGTGATTGTCCAAGTGAAGCTCTCTCCGTCCAAATTAAATACTAGACGAACCTGGAAATATTAGGATGGTCAATGTATAGCTGCAGAAGGCAATTATTTTTAATAAATAGAAACACATGTACTTCAATACCCATTCAAAACCTACCTATTGTGCTCTAAGTGAAAAATATGCTGATAAATAAATTTCCACGTTTTATAATGTATAGGATGACAAAGATACTTCATGACTTAGGTTGGGAAAACAACACATTTAAGTACACGATAGTGATAAGAATGTCATCGTTGTCACCACCATAATGTTGTCTGATACTATATTTGTCCAGAGTTAGTAGCTCAAGATCATCCATACTTCATGTCATGTCCCTTGTCCAAAATTTAATGGACAGGGGTAGTAACTCGTGGGATACTTATCCACAGAAGGTGGGAAAAGTGAAGTCATGAAGAGAAGAATCCAAGAAAGTTACGACCCTTGAAAACACTACACACTTCATAAATACGTGAAGCATTGTCAATTGGCAGATAACCTTCTTGTTGCAACTTTTTAAAGAAAGAAGAGTAAAGGTCAAACAATCAACCGAAAAGGGAAAAAATAAACTTTCGAGGATTTTGCACATGTTTTAAACAGAAACTACAAGTTATTAATGCTTCATTTGCTATGCAATATTAATTGCAGAAAATAGTAGTGTATGACCCAATAAAACCAAAGGAAGATGCACAAAAGATATTAAAGTTGCAATTTTACAATCCTACGATGCCAAATACTACGTATAAAAATCTTTCCATTGAAGCAAGACTCTACACAATCCAGGGTGGATCTCCATAGAGGCGAGTAAGAATTCATATGCCAAAGATGACAAATTCATCATAGTTCCTAATTGACAAATTCAGTGTTCAACTAATACACTGGGAGCCCATACGTGCAGACTGACACATGGGGGATGTTTGTAATTTTATAATTAAATATAATGATCCTTGAAGACAGCATAATTTTGAGAGTAACTTATAACCTATGTGAAGTTAACAGGTGATCCCACTTTATCCACCCTCATAGATAAAAACTGGGTACGCTCTTTCAATGAGCTAAACAGGCATAACATATAAAACAAAATGGGATCACGAGGTCCTTTTGAAAGCCATGACAACATAGAGCGAGAAAAGGATATGGTCAATGGGTATTTCATTTGTAGAGAAAATCATGACAACTGACAATTAATGAATTTTAAGGCCTCATTAATTTCCTAGTTATAAAAATGTTTCTATTCCCTACAACTTTCACTCTTCAATTGGAAAACAAAGCTTTAAGAGCATGCCTACAAGATCTCGTCCAAGTCTCATTAGGGAAGACTACGAGAACTCGAGAAGGTATGGTGGTGAAAGAAAAGAGTTTTTCTCAAACTTGAAGAGAAGAATGAAAAACAAGAAACTAGGCTTGTCATTTCATAAGCACACGTTTATTAAGTTCTACTATTCAACAATTCTTAACAAAACTGTGAATTTTACATTATTCACGTACTTAGTTTCTTTATGGATCACTATTCACATACTTTGCGTTGAATGCATTTAATTTTTTTTAATGTATTAAAAAAATAATATTATGAAAAATATTACTCCGCTTATTGTCTCAACATAAACTTTCAAAAATAACTTTTAAAATTTTTACTAATAAGAGATTATTTATTTAATGGTAAAAGTCTTGTGTTGGAAAATGTAAAAGTCAAACGGTTCCAACTAAATAAGACGTAGCTAGTATGAAACTAAGATGAAACAAACATCTTTCTTGTACCTCATGTAACCCCGTTGATGCGGATACAAAAACAACATCCAAACCTTATTCCTAAAAGATTTTGGGGACGCGAATAAGTGGAGAAATTTCAAGGAGCATGCTGGTGTGCTCCATAAGGAGCACAAGCCACTGAGCAGAACGCAGAGACCTCATTTATGTGATACTCTTGTAAGAGATGCTTACATAGTGCTCAGCCAGTGCAGCTAACTCAGCAGCATGCTGACATACTCATTGAAATTCTCATTGAAAAGTGTTCCCGACCAATAGGCGTCAAGTCTATTGGCGTACTCTCCAAGTAAATGAAAAAACTATGTTCCATTTTTAGTAAATTTGTGTTCCTTTTTTGAAAAAAAAAACTTATCTATGTCCATTCTGATTTATATTTTTTTGGAAAAAGAAATTATCTATCTGCTGAAGAGCAGTAAGGGTTTCCGAACTCAGAACCCTCCGAAGTAGGATATCGCAAAATATTTACATTAAAAAATCATTTCAAGTACATTGTATGTTGATGTAGTGATTTAGTCGGCTCTACCCAGTCTGAAGCTCTTTAAATGCTTATGATTCCCATGCAATTTTCTCAAACAGTCAGTGAAAACCAACAAGTTACTTGCACCAGAACAGTCATTCATACACCTTTTCTTAGTTTATAAAATTGGATTTCGTGATTCTTACCCAGACGCCATGGTAGACAGAAGGGAGAAAAGGAGATTAGAACTAGATTCCTGCAGAAAAGAAAATCCACATGCTCAGATAAAGAAATTGAGCCAAAAGCAAAAAAACAGCATATCCATACAGCTAAAAGTTGTTGCAACATTAGATTTCATCAGAATTAATAAGAAATTGATCGAATTGCAAGGTTTCCACTTGATTCCTGCAAGAGCTCAACCATGTTAAAATTAATCCAATTAGAATTCCATCATAAAAGCATCAGATAAACTCGGCACCCTCTGGTATTTGTTTGTTTCAGCCAGTAAATTGATTGAATTGTAAGGTTTCCATTAAATTCCTGCAAGAGCTCAACCATGTTGTTTCAGCCAAAAGAAAGCGAAAACAACATTACTTCCAGAGGTAATTCCCCGACAAACTACTTAATTTTTGAGAAAAAACAGATAGAAAAGAAGGGGATAAATGCATGCCAGTATGGGAGCTAAAAAGAAAAGAAGAGGAAGGAGAGGAGTGACGAACCAGGGGGGAGTGAGGGGGGAGAAAGAGGAGTCCAACTCTGCTCCCTCTCGTTTCCTGCTTTGTTTCTCTTAACTTTCTTTTAGAGGGAGCTCCATTTTTTTCTTTACTTTATTTTTAATTCTAAGCAGGAGAGAAATAGTTTCGGATGTAACAACAGAAGTAGAAGAGAAATACTCCCTCCCTTCCTAAAAATTCTTCCCGGTTTGACTTGGCACGCTTATTAAGAAAGTGGAATAAAGTGGAAATGTATGGTTGTGATTGTGTAAGAAAAAGGTAAAATGAATGTGAGCCACACAAATTGTCCAAAATGGGAAAGTGGGAAGTATTTTTGGGAACAGCCCAAAAAGGAAAGTGGAAAGTTTTTTTGGGAACGGAGGGAGTAGATGCAACACAGGGAAGGGGCTTACTGTTATAATACCACTCCCATAGTCCATAGTAGTAGTGTAATTTATAAGGCAAATAGTAGTGAGTGCACTAAATGCGGTGGGACCCATGGGACACGCGGAGAAACACACTACGCGGCGCGGTTGAAACAGGTAGCTCGCAGGTGTAAAACAAATAGGACACGCGGTGATATATGTATGGTGGACGTCACGGCGATATAGATATGATGGAACGTGCGGCCAAATGTGTATGGTTAGACTCGCGGCGGATACTTATGGTGAAATGCATGATGAAATACATATGGTGGAACGGGCGCGATGAGATAAATATGGTGGGATGCGCGGTGAGATATATAAAGTGAGACACGCGATGAGATATATAAAGTGAGAGATGCGATGAGACAGAGAATACGATGTGTAAAGATTGAGATAAGCAACGGTATACGACATATATTTCTTCAATTTTCTATAGATATGAAGTGTTTACAAGATATAAAAACCAAATTGAACCATGACACTTTATTTTAATGTATAAATCTTCAAACTTTCGTCTAGCCTAAGCCATTGTGTGTAGGTGCACATACCTTCTAGAACTATCTGCGATTTGAATAAAAAATGGAATCGAACCGTCGGCCGCGTTTCCAACTTTTGGAAAATCAGAATCGGAACCGCACAGTACCGATTCCAAAACCGGCAGTTCCGGTTTGATATTTCAGTTCCAAATTTTTGTTTTATATTTAACATTTATTTAATTTATTAAAAATAAAGTATATCGATGATATTATTTTGGTTTTTATATTTAACATTTATTTAATTTATAATATGTAAAGATTGAGGTAACCAACGATATACAACGTATGTATCTCTAATTTTCTATAAATATGAAGTGCTTAGAAGATATAAAAATCAAATTGAAACATGATACTACGTATTTTATTTTAATGTATAAATCTTGAAACTTTCGCCTAGCCTAATCCATTATGTGGGTAGCACACACCTTCTGGAACTATCTCCGATTCGAATCGGAACTGGAATCGAACTGCCGGCCGCGGTTACAACTTTTGGGAAACTGGAATCGGAACCGCATAGTACTGATTCCAAAAAAGGCGGTTCCGGTTTGGTTTTTCAGTTCCAAATTTTTATTTTTATATTTAACATTTTTTAATTTTTTTAAAAATAGAGTACATGATAATTTATAAGATTATTTGGATGAAAGAAGTCCCAAAAATCGTTAATATACTTATTAATTAGTATTTCTTTAACTAAGTACAATAATTAGATACATATCAACAAAATAGTTTTTTAATAAATCTCTAAGTAGTTAGAAATTGGGAGAATTTCCCAAATAGAACTAAATGAAACTTTAATTGCCAAAATAGTACATTAACTTAAATATTCCCTAGAAGGACTAGCTTTCCGATTCTACCGTTGCTTTGTTTTTAATACAATTCATATTTTATTAATAATTAAAGAATAAAAGTAATAACGTAACTTTATTTATAATAAAAAAGTAAAAAAAAACGAGTAAATATTAAATAAAATTTATAAGAATAAAAAAATGAAAAAAATTATAAAATCAAAAATTTAAAAATTAAAGTAAAATAGATAAAAATAATAAAATAAAAAAGTATGTGGAACTATGTTGCCACCCAGCTCCATCAGCTCCGATCACCGGGGAAAATGCTAATGCATGTCAGAAATGTCATCTTAATGGCAGTTTTGGATAAAATTTGACATTTATAAAGAGTAAAAATGATGTATATATGGCATTTTTAGAGAAAAATGGCAGATTTTACACATAATAGCATTTTTAGCCAATCAAAGGTAACATGGTTGTGCAGTGGTCGAGACTGTGGGAAATACCTCCATATATTTTTATATTTTTCAAGGTGTTTTTTTTAAGTTTTTCATTTAAAAAAAACATTAATAATTTTAAATTTTTTTATATTTCTAAAAAATATTTAAATTTTTTTATGTATTTTTATGATTTTTCATATAAGTTAAATTATATGTTATCATTTTTTTGTATTTATTACAAAATAAAATATGATTATCATATTAAGTTATGATAAGGGTATAATATGAAGGAGTTTTTGCCACGTTCGGTCCCCCAACTATTATGTAAGTGACACTTTTGGTACTCGACATCTAATTTTTCTATTTTAATTTATTCCTCGACTTCAAGATTTCCCACATTTAGTCCTCTGACTATTGTCAAATTGAAACTTCTAGTCCTCCCATTATGATTTAGACACAATAAATGGAGGACTAAAAATGTCACTATTATAATAGTTGAAGGACCAAAAGTGTCACTTTTATGAAAGTTGAAAGACTAAATATGGAAATTTTCAAAGACGGGTATCAAAAATGTCTTTAGCGCAATAGTCGAGGACTAAAAATGGAAAAAAATAAAGTTGAGTATGAAAAGTGCCAATGACATAATAGTCGGAGGACTAAAAGTGGCAATAACTCTAATACCATAGTTTTATTTATGCATTTAGGGATTAATTTAGTTCTATTTTGGGAAGATAAATAACATGGTTTTATATGTGCATTTAGGGATTAATTTAGTTCTATTTAGGGCTATTATCTCTTAGAAATTAGCTAGTACAAATTGAGGAGTTAGTAATTTTAAAGTACTTTAGTAATTTGTAAATTATGTATTCTTATAAATGTAATTTGTAATATTAAAGTATTATAACTAGTAATGACTAAAAATTACGAAGTACTAATTAATAGTCATTATTTGTTGTTTTTATTGTTTGTACAACAACTAGATGCAAGAAACAATGGGCTTACGGTTATAATACCACTCCCATAGTCCCAGTAATGTAATTTTTTAAAGCAAATAGTAGTGAGGGAAGTAATTAAGTAAATGCGGTGGGACTCGGGGGACACGCGGAGAGACACAGGTTACGACGTGTTTAAGATAGAGAATGGGCAGACGTAAAGATAGTCAGGGCAATCTGGTGATTGATTTACCTGAAATAGGGCAGCCTGTTGTGGATTTTTGTCCAACCTCTATTCTCATGAAGATGATGTGGATGTCCATAACATTGTGCAGTTTAGATCATAACTAGTTTTTTTTTGAAAGGAAAGAAAATTAATTTACATTAATCAAATCGTTGGCTAAAGCCGAAACAATGAAATCAGGAGGAAAATCAACCCAAGACTGCAAATCAGACAAAGAACAAGCCGCCCTAGCTAACAAATGAGCTGTCTTATACGCTGATCGCCTCACATGACAAAATGAAATGAACGAAAATGAATCCGCTATATCTCTAATGTTCTCTCAGAATCCCCACCAAGGAGAATGATCACAACTGCTTGGAGGATATTAACAAGAAGAGTGACGAAATGAATTGGGATGCATTCATGGAGAGTGATAGCGAGTCAAGAGGAGGTGCTCAAAATTTTCATGGTACATTCGAACGAAGAAAGGAGGCGTTTGTGATACATTTTGAACATGAGGATGAAAGTTTCATCCTTCACTTCTGTGCTGACGACGGTTATGAAGACCATGCGCTTCCTAAGTGTTTTCAAGAATTTAAGAATCTGCGCCACTTAATGGCATTTGTTGAGAGGAAGCTGGAAACGTTGATTACTAGTGCACCACTATAGTCTGTGCTATTTGAGAGCTTACGAGGGATCATCGGGCAAACGACGTTTAAAATAGTGCTTCTTGGGAGGCAACCCAAGTTTAATTTTGCACTTTTGTTTTTGTTTGTTTGCTTTCAAGAAACCCCTCGAAAAAAAAATAAAAAAAAAGAAAAAAAAAATCCGGGGTGTTTTCTGTTTTTGTGTGTGTTTTGTTTTTGCATCTCAGGGTCTTGCTTTGGGGATGATGTGTTGAGGATCACTTGACTCAGTTTAGTTCTACACCAATCAGCGCCTTAGGGAAGTTTCTGCGACTCTTATAATCGCTTATTTCTAATGTTGACTTGAGTTGAGATTGAGCACGCGTGACCCTTTCCTCTTTACCCCTTGTGCATAGTGCATTTTTGGTCATCGAGGGCGATGCCAAAGTTTAAGTGTGGGGGAGTGAATTGGGCATTCGGGCAGTAGTTATCACATGGGATTTTTAGAGTTAGCATGCGCAGGTGTGAGTTGTATATTCATAGGAAAGGCATGTCAAAATTTTTGAATTTTTTTTCCTTAAACCGTGTCTTTGTGAGCTGGCTAGCGTGTTGACAATGCTTTTAGAACATTTGTGAAGTGTTTAGGCTTAAATTGCTTGCACTATAACCAAGTTTTTGAGAGGATGAAGACATTAGTCACCCACTAAATCGTTTCACAAATCATCCACCTGACCTGAATAAGTCATTTAGGAGAAGCCACTTTGAGCCTGACCATTTTGTTCTTTACCCAATCAATTGAGCTCCATAACTAAATGGCCTGTTTCCTTACCCGTGAATAAGTCTGACGAAGTCTTGATGTTTAGGGAACTAGGGGATTATTTTGCTAAAGTTTAGGAAATTTTTGTAGGAGCCAATTTTGGCACTATTCTTATACCCCAAATGGGGTAAGAGCAGTCACTTTTTAGGAATTTGATATTTTCGAGGATTGCATTGTAGGCATGGATTCACCTTAATTAATTGAACTTTAATTGATAATTTTCCTTGGTGAGGCCGAGATTAGAATGGGGTAATGTCTAGTGAAAATCTGAAAATTGAAAAAATTAATTGAATAGCTAGACTTCTTACCTTGCGAAAAAGTGAATGGGAGTCCCAGTCAAAAAGCTTAAGT